CTATCAATTAATTATAAATTCTCTTTTTCTCAAGGATTTCTCTCCTTTTTATTAGTTTATAATATTGTGTTGGGAGGTTTATATTTAAACCATCATAATAAAGATTGGTGTCAGAATTATATTCCAAGATTGTAATTGAGTGTTTTGCATTGTCAGCTACTTGCCTCAGTGGTTTGGTAGCTTCCTACACATAATTGCATCTCTGAAGTAATTTGAGTAGGGTTTTTTTTTAACTTCCTTGGAACATAGCTGGTCTATAAATCTATTTAAGAAAATTTCAAATACATCTCTAATAATTTGCTCCTCCATCTTCTTAACTCCCTCTTTGGTCAAAGAGTAAATTTTTTGTAGATTACTTAATTACTGGCCAATCAGGATTCATAAAAATCAGGGCGTTTTAGCCACACACAGTTAAGCAGACCAAGTTACAAATTACTTAAAAATAATAAACTAAAACCACAATTTTCTACTCTTTTATTTCTCCATCAAAGTTTTAAAAAAAAACACTCCACGCTTCCTTATTTTAGCTTCCCTTCAGCATCCTTCTTCCTTGTTGTTTAACAATAAAGATCTTCAAAAAGGAATAACAAGCTGTGGCTAAAGAGAGACTCTCTTAGCTTATTAAAGATTAATAGTCCTTGAAAGTGATTAAGAAATGAAAAGCACAACTTATTGTCCATTTGAAAAATAAATTCCAAAACAGCTGCTTTTTCAACAACATAACTCTAACCCTAATCCCCCCCCCCAGTTGCTGGCTCACCAGCTCACTCCAAAGCACACCTCCTGAAGCTGCTTGCAGATCGATGCTGTAGGGAGGAACATGTGGAATGATTCTAGGATTCTCCTTAACCTAGGAGAGTCACATAAATTAAAGCAGAGGTCCCCAATCTTTTGGGCACCAGGGACTGGTTCCGTGGAGAAATGATTTTCCGCGGACCAGAGAATGTGTAGTTTTGTGTGCTGCCTGCATCCCACGGATGGGGCTTTGCTTGTTTGTGAGAACCAGTTTCTGGCATGCCGCGGACCAATACCAGTCCATGGACTGGGGATTGGGGACCCCTGAACTAAAGGAATGCCTGGTGAAGATGGCCAACTGACGACATCTTCACCAGAAGCCAAGAATCTTTCTGTTCTTTTGGAATATTTCCCCATTCATTCTTACAGAACTTTTCTACTTTAGAAATATTCCAAGGTGTCCTTGCCTATATTATATGTTTGAGATCACCCTACAATTTCTCAATAATATTCAAGACAGAGGACTGAGAAGATTATTTCCAAACCTTTCTCTGTTTTTCCTGCAAGCACTTAATGGTTATTCCAGAGTGTCGTCTAACTGTATTATCCAGCTACTTTCCAGCTTCAATATCTTCCATTATATAAGAATATTTCTGAGCTAGAAAAATTCTCCAAGTACACTTGATGATGGGTGCTTAATTTTTTTCACACAACTTTGTTTATTGTAAAATAGTCTGCCTATCAAAGATTCACACACTATTGTAAGTCATAAATTATGTTTTATAAATTGCAATAGCTAGGTTTATTGTGGGCAAAAAATGAAGCAAAACATTCAACCAATACTTTCATGTGTTAGTAAATTATTTGTCTTTATATTGCACACATACACCATATATGCACAAACATGCATTCATATATTGATCATGCAAACAGTTAAAGCCACATCCCAGAAAAAAAAATCACATATTTATTTTTAGTATTAAAAATTATCATTTCCTAGGATAATGTATTGATCCAATTTTATAAAGTATAATTAAAGCCTGATAGATTGACTGTCCTGGGTTATTCCAAATTCTGTCTTTATAGTGTGTATGTGAACACATAAATTTCATTCTAACAAGACTTTTGAATATGAAGCTTCAGACTACAGATTTTTTTTAAAAAGCAATAAAACAATCTGAAAACAATCCAAAAAAGTCATTAAAAGATCATGTTATAAAAATTATTAAAAGTTATATCAGTCTGCTGCTACGTATATTGAGGTTAATAATTTGTAACTTGTGAGAAAAAAATCAGCCTTTTCAGTCCAATCAACATCTAAGAAAAAACTGGTTATAATTTTGAAATAAAATCCCAATCAGGTGCTTTGTTTTTGAATGTGTAACTTATTTCCAAACAACATTTAGCATATAACATGAGATTAAATATCCGTGGTTTGGTCTCTGATGCTTTTTGAAAATTAATTAACATTACTGTTGTTAAAAATTTGCATGCAATATATATTGTAACTTGTAAAAATCCTAAATGAATGCACTTCTATGTGCTTTCCCTGTGATGGAATTTTTAAATTTAAACTATAAAAAGGGAGAAAAGTAGCATTCGAAAGAATTAAGTGTTCCAATAGAATTCAATATCCAATATTCCAATTAAATATTGCATTGAAACTCATCCGTGTTTTCTTCTCTTCTAACAGATAATCCTGAAATAGTGAACAGGAATGGAATGGAATGTCAAGAGGCCTTGTTGAGAACAGCAAGGCATTGTTACTGTACATACAACCCTGTCTCTTCCTTAACAGAATTGCCACAAACTGCATGCTGAATAAAGAGTTTATTCATCTGGACAAAACACACTTAAGAGCTAGTGCTGCTATATCACATATGAATATTAAGATGGTATGCTTAGTATATTCAAAACTAATCTAGTTAACTACCTGATGCCAGCTGTGATGGTTCAAGACATACAAGGGTAATATTTTACTTTTAAAAGTTTTATATAACACTGTTTACTTCTTAGGAATATTGTCTTACCACCATAAAATAGTGAATGTAAGTCGTCCCATTCATATATCGCAGGGTTCACGGTTTTACGACTCTTTCAATGTTAGCAATAACTGATTTACATTGGCCACTAAATCCAGGATCTAACTGCATGAATAGTTTCCCATGAGAGCTGTTGCTTTGGTTGCATGTTTCTTCAACTGACCTACCTGCACCCCAGTTTGCACAGAGAAATTCTTTTGAAACTGGACTTTTAAAAGTACTTTGTAATGCTGCAAAGGAGAATCTGGTTCCAGAGATGTAGGTCAAGGGAATTTAAAAAAAAAAATTACTTTGGCTATATCAGTGCCACTAGTTGCACTGTGATGATTGTTTGGTGACAAAATAAGTGATGCAGTAGTGGAATCACCACTAGTAGTTTTCCTAGCTTGGTGTCCCGGATAAGTAGGATTTCTCCTTCCAGCATATGCAATCAGCATAGCCAATGGTCATGCTGTGGGGTAGGTGGGTGGTTGGGGAATCCAGGAAGTCATAGGAAACCTAGGTTGAGGCACAGTCAATTGGATGAAGCTGAAACAGAAGATCTAAAGAAGTGGGGAACTGTGGCCCCCTTATGATTTGTGGACTTCAACTCCCAGAATTCTTGAGCCAGCATGGGTGGCTCAGGAATTCTGGGAGTTGAAGTCCACAAGTCATAAAAGGGCCATAGTTCCTCAGCCCTGATCTAAGGTAAAGCACAAATTGCAGCAACGCACACAAGCTGCTTTGGGATATGTATGGACAAGTTATATGGAATCACGACATTCTAGAATTAAACCAAACCTTTTGCACAGTATGATTTTCATACCCCTAACAAAAATCTTGACTATGTTATTTTACAAAGAGAGAATATTTTTTAAAGAAATCTTTGCAGAAGTGCCTAAATTTTGTCACATAAAACTTGAAACTTAAGTGACACTGCAGTCTATAATTGAATCTATGCCAAGTGATTCAGCTTTCAGATTTGCAATCAGGTTACCAAAAATCATTTGTTATAAAATAACTTCTTCCCAGTTAAATAACGAGGCTACAGATTATATAAGATTATATGAAATTCTATTTCAACTCAAAACTCAATGCAGTCACTGTAAAAGCTAATAAGTGACTTTAATATAGACAATTAGGAAAATATAGAAAAGGATATAAAAAGAGCTGCATTTTAATCCATTGTTATTACTGCCATATTTTTAAAATATAATTTAAAAAGATATAAACAGGCTTACAACAAAGAGAAAGAAACTAGTTCTTTTAAATGTTTATTTAAAATCTTACTTTATGACACAGAAATGCAAAGTTATGTTTAATTCAGCTGTATTAAATACAGAGTGTGTTATATACAGCTGTATACTGTATCATATAGCACACATATGGGCAAAACATTTTAATATTTACTTTTTCAAAACTGCAATGATTAACAAGGCAGTTATACACATTTGACTAAGATTTTTTGTTTGAAAAGTTTCCACATTGTTGTACCAAATGCATTACATTTAATGTTTTGTATACATATATCACACAAATATATAGTTTTTAAATTAATGTTTCTAAACAAAAACTTGTCTAAGAAAATATGCATAATTATTGGAAACATTTTCCCTTATGAAAATTATAAATGATTGCAGTATTTTAACTTAGGCTTTTCAGATTGATATGGGTTTGGCAGCATTGCCTATTCTAAGAGACAGATCTACTAATTTATTTTTAATAACTTTATTTTTCAGTATTAATTTTGTGTTTCAAATGTCTAATGTTGTTTATATAACAGTAGTTTGATCATTTAAAAAGGAACACATATACCCAAAAATGTTATGGAAAACATGTTGTAATCTTGCATTTATTTTCATCTAATCTTTGAGAGAAATGTATGCAACTTTTGTTTTTACTTATAAATTTGTCATTATAACTTGTTTGTTGACTTGGCTGTTTACTTAACCTCTGTGCTAGTTAAGATTTTTTTTAATGATCCATTTAAATATTTGATAGATTATTCAACAATATGAAATGGCAAATTATGTATGCTTAAAATATTTAAACTGTAGAAAAAATACATAAACATAATACATTTAAACAATTATTTTCTTAGAATCACTCTGATATTATTTACTCTATTGAGAAACAGATTTTTAAGACATTTGTGAGTTTTCTTCCTGGATAAAGAAAATGTATTTTTTAAAAATCAGAGAGATCCCCTCTGTTGGATCTAAATTTGTTGTGCTCCTACATTAACCAGTATGTTAACTATTAAATTATTTCTTTCAGATAAAAATTAAGTTGATCTCCCTAGGGATATGCTGGAATAAGAGGTTTAGGTAGTTTTAAAGTATGTGTCACAGAGAATGTACAAATGTAAAAGTGACATTGAGTATGATAGATATCTATACAGTCTACTTTTGAAAATATAGCTCTTAAATTGTCTCTCATCTCCCCATTAACAGATTTTCGAGGAAATATTGATCCATTTGTCTCTGCCACATTATGGTCAACAATTCCATTTTTATTCTGCTCAGATTCCACCTTCATGAACAGGTTGTTTTGTTGTTTTATAAGCATATTAACATTCCTCTGCTTTGCAGAGGACAGTATTACTTGATTTCAGCCCTATCTAGTTTTTTTTTTTATCTTTAAGCATTTGCATAGAAGTATTGTACTTACTTTGACAAGTTTCTTAATTTCACTAGTTTCTAAATTTTGACATTTAAACAAAACCAAATTAAACTTCATTCCAACATAGTCTTTATATGAGATCACAAAACAAGTCCTGTTCCTGTGCTACATTTGTATGTATTTGTGGGTGTACATGTGCACACACATATGTACATATATATATGTATATGCTGAACTAACTGTGAATGTGTATGTCAGATGTAATGTCCACTTGGAAAAGCAGCTTATTTCTGTTAGTTTCAGCAAGGCTATCTAGGACAGCAGAAATTATGAAAGTATAGACCTGCTCCATATGTATATCTGTTTCCAAAGAAATAATTATTGGTCTGAGCTAGTATTCTCACATCCACCACACTTTATTTAATCTCCGTGCTTCTTGTTTTGGGTCTGTATTAAATAACAGTCTAATAATGAAATATTAAGGGCATAGTTTTATTTATTATATATTAATTTTGTAGAATACATTGATTTGGGGATGAGATAAAACTTTTTTGGATACAAATGTTATTTGCCAAAATTTCACTTATATTTTGAAAAAGAATGCATAATAATAGAAAATGGATGGCATATATATATATATATATTTCCTTTGAAGCAAATTGACCAACATAATATGCTAACATAGAAATTGGAGCATAATTTCATATTATTTGAGATATGTCTGTACTTTTTGTAAGGTCTTCACCAAAATATCTTAATCTGTCTATACAAAATTATTTACACTGCTAACAGTTAAATAAATCCCTTCCCTTAATTCATGTCATTAACTATTTAGTAGCATACATACCCTTTTATAAGTGTGTTGAGATATAATTTAATTACCTATGTACAACCATGAAAATAAAAAGAAGCCTTTTAAAATCATTCCAGTATATCAGTTTTCTCTATGAGACAGAGAAGCAAAATGCTTGAATGGAAAAAAAATACATATTTTTTCTGTTAAAACAAATAAACAGAAGGAAATTTAATTTACTTTCAGACAATGGTGCCAAATATCCTTAGCATTTTCAGTTCACAGTGAAGGAGCACCATATAGTACCAGTATCAAATTTCTCTAGGACAGTGTTTCTCAACCTTGACAATTTTAAGGCATGTGAACTTCAACTCCCAGAATTCCACAGCCAGCAATTCTGGGAGTTGAAGTCCACATGCCTTAAAATTGTCAAGGTTGAGAAACACTGCTCTGGGACAACAAGTTGTTCCCTCAGTTTTTGGTGCTTGATACCAGCTACCTCAAAGTACTTTAAAGCTGATGATGCTCTTTGAAAGGAAAAAAACCACTGGAATTCCCAGAGGTGATCATTTCAAAAGTTGTGGACATTGTTTGGTTCAACAGGCATTGAATGTTTGTGCCCAATGTCTATTGCACATCTATCACAATCCTGAAATTTTAATGAGTCTTCACTGTGGCCAAGATGGATGCATTGTTCTCTGCTGTCTTGTTGGAATGGTGCAAAAATATTTTACTTAATTAATATATGTATACTTGGGTGTGAGGGAGAGAAGCAACCCAATGGAACCTGTGAGGTTTTTCATTGTTTGCTCTACAAGGAATCTCAGACAGTATTTATCCTAACCTGAAGAAATTGCCTTGCAAAAAGCATGAATTCTATGGGTCCTTTCTCCAGTCTGACCATTCAGATACATCCTTCTAGGTTGTCCAATTCTGTACATGTAATATATGTATATACAGTATTCATATACTTTATGTTTGCAAGTGTGACTGAAACATGGCAGAACAGTCTAGCAGTAGGCTGGCAAAAGAATGAGGCGTGTTATACTCTCTCCATATTTATTCAGCTGATATGTTGAATATACAGTATATGGAGAGAGATTCTATGAAAAAAAAAGAGTGTTTTTAACCAATTGTGTACTCTGATAGCTGAAAATGCAGAAGATCTGGAGGCTCTAATAGTGAAAAGTCAAGAAGCACAGTGGAAAAAAATGGGATTAAGATTAAGTAAAAGAAGGCCAAAGAAATCATTAGATTGACAGAATTGGAAGTCCTTATTGGGACTTCTAGGGTATGGCATTTTGATCTGGTCACAGCATAAGAAGTTGTGATCTGGGTTTTTTTCCATGGCTAGGCTATTGTCATGGCTGCATCTCACCTATCCAAGCTTCATGAGCTGGCAGCCAGACATTAAGGGGGGGGGGGAGAAGAAAAGATTGGAATGTGAAGAAAGGGGGGGGAATGGAAGCCCAGCTGAGCCATATGAGAAGCTCTAGCCAGCCAAGGTCATTGACGATATGCACAGTGGGAACTGAGCACCTGTTTCTTGAATATACAAGCACCTGATTGGACATTTGCAGATAACGGGGGGGTAAGGGGAGGGGAATGCCGGGGTGGGGGGAGAGGGAACTTTATGTTGTTTGCATGGAAAAACCTCCTATTCAGCTTAATATCATCCGTCCCACTCAGTCATCTAGCTGAGACAGCTATT